CTCCGTGGGGCTGTGCTCGGGGGCATCTCAGTGAGTCGGGTCGGAGCGAGCTGCTTTCTATGCCTTTGCAGCCTTCTTTCTTCTCCGATAGAGTTGCTGTAAGAGTTTACGTGCTTATTACGATTGTAATTATTCACGTAATTATGTTACGCGCATATGTGGGGAAAAGACAGTAGTTCACGGCATGCAGTTCGTAACACGCAGGATTCCTCCTGTCAAATGCACATTTTTCTCTAGGGGCTCTTTATTCCAGGGCTGTCGAGCTGACCTCTGCTGTCTGGTTAACCTCCAGAACTGTAGGCAGTTTATGGATGATTGGCCATAAAACTAAAATTTTGATATAATTATGTGTTCCTTGCAAAGAATTCTGTGCAAAATGGGCAGGTAATCACTAACATACAAATAATACACATTTATTATGTTAGTTAGGCCATAACATTGATTTTGGCCATGTCAGTTTGATTTGTTTTACAGAACCTAGTGTCATTATATGTTGATCTTTTGCATATGTATTATGTAAGTAAAAAGGTTTCTTTTTGCCATGATGAATGAGGATTGTTTGATTGGAGAAAAATCAAACAAGAACACAGTCAATTATTTTTAATACCCAAGACTACTTGGATTTTTTTATTTTAGAAAAAAATGCTATCACAAAGCATTCTTTTTTTCACCATTCAGTCTTCAATCCCTGCTAGCGAAAAAACAGGAAAATTCCCCCATCCTGCTAGCTGGTTATCTGTGCAAATTCAGAAACAGTATTTCTTGTGTTCTTGCAGTTTCTTACTTTGGGTTGGATTTTGGCAATTTCATGTTGGAAATTCAAGCGTAGAAGGAAATGGAATGTGTATGTCACTGAAATTGAGGGACAGTTCCAGACGTGAGAGTTGCGTTGTTAATAGCTGGGATAACTATACTTAAATGGCAGAACCATTAATGCTTGGCAGCCAGCAAAGTAACTCACATTTAAACAGATGCAGTTATTTGATGTGCTGCTCTGTATTTTAATATTTTGTCCAATTTTTGTGGAAGGTTGTTATAGGTGAATTCTGTTTCTGAAACTTTGTAGTTTTAGATACATATTAACTAATCTGTTAAAAGATTACTTTTGTGGTATCAGAACGAGGTGCTCTACAAAAGATCCCAAAATCCAAAGCCCAGCCCAGCAACTCTCCTTTTACCATACTCCAGACTGTATACATTATATATATATGTATATTATACATTCTTAATTTGGCTTCTTTGCACAAATGTGTGGTGAAATACTGGCCCCACAGGACCCTACTCAGTACAAGCATTGGATCTGTCTTGGGGTTGTGCGCTGGAGAGAAGTCTGTGGTGGATATGTTGTGGAGCTGGGCTATGGGAAGAGAAGACATGGCTGCAGGGAGATCTGTGTTGTACCCTTGTGTCTGTAATGTTTGATACTAGTAGATGCGAGTCTTTAGGGCATACTTACTGGTTCATATCCTGGCGTAGGTTTGTTTCTGCAAAAAGGCCGGGCTCCTGCATTTGACTGCTGACTTCTGCCTCCTTTGTTCTGGCACTGGTGTTCTTGTCACTTCAGCTGGGTCATTTTGTTGGTATAGAAAAATGCTGAGTTGACTGCCTTTACAGCTGCGTTGGTGAAGGCTACGTGCCGAGGGAGAAAAGGCAACAAGATGCAAATAACTCCAGTAACCCAGGTGCCAGGTATCTCAAATTGGATGACCAAAAATTACTTAAAACATTTGGCCTAAATTTCTTTTGTATTTCAAAGCCCTAAATGAAAGAGTAGGATGATACTTATTCATCTTGTAGGAATATTGTGGAGATTTCTTAGTATTTATGAAAAAGTTATAACTATAGAAAAGCCACTGAAGAAGTTAATACGGAACAGGAAATATAGTGTAACTAAATAGGCCTTGTGCAGACGATGTAGAAAATACTGAATAGCTGTTGAAGTGAACATTATCATATATCTTCATTCTCGAATGTATGTCTTGGTGGGAAAAACAGCATTTTTGAAAACTGTATATAAAGGTTGTGCAGTTGATACTAGACCAGGCACTTTTTTGGACTGGGTTAATTTTTAACTACTATTTTAAGGAGGTTTTGTGTCATTTCCTTTGTGTTGCTGTCCATACAGAGATGCTAAGGGCTCTGGCACCTCTAGACCCACTGCGGGTCTCAGCTGAGGTGCTCAGGGATCTGATCTCAGGATGCTTTAGAGTCTCCGATTTCATTTCATGCCAAAGAGGGGTGTATTTTCTAATAGTGGCAGGTTCTTTTATCTGTTTCTTCTAAAACCTTTTCTGTGCCTTCTCCTTTCCCTGTCCATGGTGTTCATCCATTTTTTGGAGGGTACAGGATATAAATTATAATCTGTAAATTCTCTCCATAATCTGAATCTCTTTATGTCCCAGATTATACCGGGATTCTTTCTTGCATACAGTATTTCTGAGTAACCAGTCCCATTTCCGTTGCTCTACCTCCTTATTTGATCTTTCTGTCAGTCACTCTGATTCTGCTGTCCCCTGTAGAAGTTCCTTATTCTCCCAGGCTTCCAGATCAGATACAACTTCCTGAGCTTCCCTGCGTTTGTTTCTCTTTCTCTCCCCTCATCCATCTCCTTATCCAGTTTATTTAATCAGCTGTTACACGTTTTATGTATACCTCAGCTTCGTATTACATCTTTAATCTACAACCGGCTCTGTGACTTCTTCCATTTTTCTTCCCTAAACCCTTTCTTGCCTCCTTTTTCTGCTTTTCCTCAACTCCATTGCCTGGTTCTTGTCTTTAGTGTATTCCATATAGCTTCATCCTCCATGGTAGGCAAAACTGAAAGTGGATTTCTGAGAGTGCTTTTTCTTTTGCGTTCCTTTCTTTTGCGTTCCTTTCTTTTGCGTTCCTTTCTTTTGCGTTCCTTTCTTTTGCGTTCCTTTCTTTTGCGTTCCTTTCTTTTGCGTTCCTTTCTTTTGCGTTCCTTTCTTTTGCGTTCCTTTCTTTTGCGTTCCTTTCTTTTGCGTTCCTTGCTTGTGTGTGTGTGTGTATATGCGCACACACACACACATATATAAAAAAGCTGATTTCAGCATATTCTGTTTAGCGTATGAAAACTGCCTTTCCATCAAAACTTAAGTTTCTGCTCTGAAACTTGGACATAAAAGGTCTTATGCCACTGGTGTTTGATAGAAAAACCAATGTGGTCTCTGGTCTTGCTCTTTAGATATGAATGATCCAGTCAAATTTTTACGGACAGAGAATTTTACCAACAAAAAAGCACATCTGATGGAAAATACAGTCTACAGAGTTAAAGCTTGATAAAATTAGGAGCATACTTAATAATAATTCTGTATGTTGGATGGCATAGTAATTGGCAAGATCTTTTGCCTTGTCTAATAACTGCTGCTGAAAGTTACACAAGAACTCAATATCAGAATACCGGCATTACTTGCAATTGCCACTGGTAGTTGGTTTGCTAAGAAAAGGATGACAACTTCTGTTTCCACGTGAAGCACGTGGGTTGGTTCGTTTTTGGGGGTTTTGTTTGTTTGGGTTTTTTTAGTTGTGGGTTTTTTTTTTTTTTAAACTCTGTTTCTTCCCACCCAATGAACATGATAATGTTGAAGAACATCTCTTGCATGAACAATCTATTCACTCCAGCCTGATTCTAGCTTGATTTTACATCAGTAATAATATCAGTAATAATGTTTATGTAAGTGGTAGAAATATCCTTTAAAAAAATCAGATTTAATATTTAAGATGCTGGTTGCAATATGAGGGAACTTCGGTGGAGCGAGTAGTTAGAGGTTATGATACGAAGGTTGGATTTCCCTGTATCTGCTGTATTTCCGAATCTACTGTACTTCAGAATGGGTACATTGTTCAGACATCAACCACAGTAAATCGTCGTGTGTCTCAGCATTCATTGGCACGATGTCTGAGAAAGAATTACTACATTTTTCGATCTCTGGTGGATTAGAATAATGATGGCCTTTTTTTGGTAACTGTTGAGAACGTTCTGTTCTTGATGAATTTCGCTCAGCCACAGCTTGAATTTTAGTGTGACTGGAAATACATTTTTAAAAATGAAATATTAAATGTCAGGCTGCATAAGCATAGCCTTATGTATTTTCAGTTGTTTTTGTAGGTTCAGCTAGCTCTACAGTTTAGTACACAGTGGTACTCATGTATATAAACAGTATCTAGTTTGTTTCATGTTCCCATGTTATCACAGACATTTTAACAATGTTTGAAAATATTATACTGCATTTATGTAATAAATTGTTCAGTTTTTTTAGAACTTAGATTAGTATACCATTCAGGTATGCCATAACTCTTGGATTTACTTTAAAATTTTACTATTGTGATTTTGTTAAACACTGTTTCCTAATGCTTCTTTGGTTTTTATGTTTTTATGCAAATGGTTAAGAAAAAGGCACCATTTTGGCAAGCTACTGTGTATTCATAGATACAAAAGAGCTAATAGTTTCAATTTTCTATCTGTGCCATTTATTGCTACAATGTTACTTTCCAGTTTATTAAATCTGCAAGATGTTGGATGAAGTGGATGTTTCTAATTATAATACCTTAAAAGCTGCAATATACTGGCTCCAATCTAGTTTTTAACATCAGGTTAAATTTAAAGTACATTGAAGTGCGATCTGATAGATGTTTAGGGCAGTTCTTGAGTTTGTGTAAATTGCACGTTGGGCTGAGCCTATGCTCAGTGGTGGTGAAGGTTAGATATTTTTTGGCATTTGCACTAACAAAAATAGATCTTGGATGTCTTTCTTGTTGATGTTGAAGTCATTCTTCTTTCTCCTGAATTCTGACAACTCTCTCTGCGCTATCAGTGCGTAAAAACTTGATCAAAATTCTTCAACCCAGATAAAATTGTTTTGGCAGTGGGATATATTTTGAAGAGCTAGTCTTATAATTGTTTCTGGGAATCTAGTTAGTAAAGGTAGATCTTTGTCATGAAGAGTTAGTGAATATTTTTCAGAGCTACCTCTTTAGGCTAATTTGTACCTCTGATATTTGAGGGCAGAACCGAACAGCACATGTACCCTGGCCTTGTTTAGGAACTAGGGTTTTAGGACTTGCTACTACTCTCAGTACCTGCCCTGCACCTTCAAGAGGCAGCTTTTAACTCATCTGCTGCACAGTTGTGTCTGCATAACAATTTTTCTTGCTGTCTTTTAGTTCATATGTCTGATTAAAGCAAAATCTGCACCATTTTCAGGATATATGGACTTTTGGAACCCATTCTGAACCTTTATTGGGTTCATTCTGCCTCTGCTTTTTGGGGGTTTGGTTTTGTTTTGTTTCAGGGAAGGGGAGGGGGGAACAGTTGTATGGCCTACAATTCTTTCCTATTGTTGTAGGAAGTAGGTACTTCTGTTCTTTTCAAGTGACTCAAAACTTCTGCATTCTCTTGGATTTTCCATGTCTGGGATTTTTTATACAGCTTTGCTGACAGAAACCCATTTTGAGCTGTGGATTAGGTACAGACCTATCTTGGAAAGAGGTCTATGTTTACTGATGGGTTGTTTAGGAACTCTTCACCCATTAGTGAGATTTCAACTGTAGTGTTGCCTACCTGAGCTTCTTGAATTTCTTTGTGTTTAGTTCTGTTACTGCTGAATGATAGACACATGTTTAGCAGTGTACATCCCTTCAGAATGAGCTTGGCAGTTTCTGTATGTGTGAGAAGCATCATGATGAAGTTTGGTATAGAAGCTTTTATGAAATTGTGTTGATAAGTAAAATCATAGTGGTCTTTTAATCATTACCCTCTTCGTTTCATAATTTACCTTAATAAGTAATTTGGGGCCTAAAGCAGAGAGCGTAAAACTACTGGTTTTGTTAACTTATGTGGTATACGTAGTAGGTAACTTATTATCTTTCTTGAGCAAAGTTTTTCTTTGTCTCCTTCCCTTCTCACAGACAGGTCATGAAAGTTAATTTGCATTTAGGTGACTGGTCATAGATACATTGTGCATAATAGAATTCATTGCAAATGAGGCAATAAAGCAATTTTGCAATTTTACAGTGAATTCGCTTCATTCAATGTAATTTCGTATCTGTGGTCATGCAAAATGATGTTTGATACAAAACCTGAAATTGTGTTCTTGCGTAAAGTACCTCATAGCCCCGTATGACTTCCTAGTTTGGTGGAAGTGGAGATACAATAGAAGTTACAAGTTTCATACTGTCAGAGTTGCTTCCATCTAAGTAATTTATTTCTTTCTTTTTCAGTGATTCTCCTTTGCCTGTTTCATCGCGTGTCTGTTTTGTAAAGTTCCATGATCCTGACTCGGCAGTTGTGGCCCAGCATCTGACAAACACTGTATTCGTTGACAGAGCGTTGATAGTCGTACCATATGCAGAAGGTTTGTGAATCGTTTAATGGCCTATGAAGCCACCGTATGATGGCATTTTATTCCAGTATAGTTCACAAAAATGAGGATTAGTAAAATGTCAAACATATAAGAGATTAACATTTTGAAACCCTTGGTATATTGCCATTGGCCCATGGATTAAACTATTGACACTAAATGAAAGTGGAAAGTTTACCTCTTACTGATTTTGTGTGTCTTTAAGTTTAGAATATTAACGTTTTAGGCAGAATTATTTGCAAATTTTGCTCTTTATCAGTCTCAATGAGACATTTTCCTAAATAGACTTATGCAAACAGGTCAACATTTTAAGGAAATTTTGCCTTAATAATTAAGTGTTTGCCACTTTCACGTAGGCATAAATCTCTTCACGAGAATGGTTTCTCCCTCCCTGAGAGTGCATGGGAGAGTAGATTAACATTTCTTTGAGATATGCTGCCGCTGCATTTAGTTGGGAACTTCCCTGAAAAGGCACTCACTCTCATTGTGAAGTCCAGTATACCAAGGGTTTGAATAATTATGGTTTAATTTGAAAGTGAGATCTTCCAAGAGGTGCCAAATGGGCACTGGTACTAGTTTTTTATTCCAAGTTTTCTTGTTCATCCTTGATATATTTTATAGAATTTCACTAAATAATAAACTCTTCTCTCTGTTATTTGTGTGTGTGATTTTTGTAGTGGAGAAGGCAAATGCAAAGCCCTTCCAGATGACTGAAAAACAGTGGGTCCTCTGCAGCTACAGGGGATTCTAGACATTAACTAAAGGCCAGCAAGCACTCAAGTCCCCAAGTGTTTTCCTGGTGTAACCACTTGTTAACTACATTTTCTCTTCTTCTTTTTATTTTTACATTTTAGGGTGTTACAGTAATTTGAAAGGCAATGAGCAGGGTTTTTGGAACTTACCTTAAAAACAAAGTGCTGAGAAGACACCTCTTCTTACAGAAGTCTTATTAAACTCTTCTAGACTTGCTTTAGAAGTAATTGATTTCCATTGTACTATTTCTTGATTTACTTCTGAAATAATGGATTTTCCCAGATTGCTTGAATTAAATAAAATCTCTGCAGATTAAGTCATACTACAGTAATAAATTTGGTACATGGCCTGGGTTCAGACCTATAATCAAGACATTGTAATGCTGTAGGCTGTCTTTTGAGGCCTGGGGAGCTGTCTTATCTTTGTATTCCTTAAACTTACAAGATATGAAAACTTAATTTCTGGAATGGAGGAATCTGCAGTGTGACCTTTGATTGAGACACGCTGCTTTTTGAGAGTACAGAACACGTTCTGAAATTGCCCTTGATTTACTGCTTCTGCTTTCACTAGTTTAGGTATAATAGCATAGTTGAAAGGCATCTTGTCCTCGTCTTTGTATTAAAGCATGATATAGCAACAGTCCATCTGACTTAGTACTGAAATATTCTCCAAGGCCCATGGTGAAGAATGTTAGTGTTTAACTTTTCCAATAAGGATAAAAACATTTTTCTCTTTGTCGGTCTGACTTTGTCCATTGTGCTTGATGGTGGATAAATCTGGCACATTGAGAAATCTGCCCAGTAGTTTTGGTTCAGATTGTGTAAAGAAAATAAAATTAATAAAGTAGAACATTTTAATGGGCCTGTTTAAATCAAGGAGTTCTTCATGGGCTGTTTCTTGTGGTGTTCTAGCGGTTCAGAATGTTGATGTTTTTGGCATAATGGTGTGGCGTATCACAAGAGATATGTTCAGCCAATTAAGTTACGCCCCCAGGTTTTGTAATCATATGCTTTTGTCCCTGTACTGGAGTATAGTTTTTCCTGCAAATGCATACTGCCAGGGTCCCAATTCAACAAGCTATTTAAGCACGATACAGCAAGATTCTTAAAACTGTGGTGAAATTGCTCATGTGCTTAAAGCCAGGCGTATGCTTAACTACTGTGCTGAACTGGGCCCTTTTATCTTTTATTTTCTATTGTGATAATTCTGTATTAATATTGCCTGTCACTAAAGTAAATGTTTATTATCTGTTTAGTGCAATAATTATCCCCTATATCACAAGCGCACTCCAGTTTTAGCATACACAGACATTTTGGTGTTGGCTGTTGCTTTGTGTTATAGAACTATACACAAAGTCTACGGTAAGGTTTAGTATTTGTAATTTTCACTGTGATATTCCTAGATTTGGAAGGAACTCTAAGATTAAAGATGGCTGGGGGGGGTATTTAGGTTCTTTGGTTAATGTTTGTTTCTTTTGTCTGTTTCTTTTTCTTTCATTTCTACACATTCATGCAGTATTTCATGGTTCTAACAAAGCAGCAGTAAAAAAAACTCTTGAAGCATGAAAATTAACTGGTGAGGGGCCTCATTGCTTTTTTTTTAAAATTGTAGTTTATTTATTTCTAAATACTTTTTTAAAAAAAATTAGAGGATCAGATGCATGATTTTTTTTAATGGATGCAGATCTTCTATGAGGTGTCTCAAGATAAGTCTGAGGATTTGTATTTAGATGCCAGAAATGTTGTAGTTGCACTAATTTGAAATGTTTAGATATAATTTATAAATATCCTCTGAGACATAATTTTGCATGCAAAATTACCCCATAATCTCTCTGTAGGTATGTTAATATATTTATGCATTAATGCCCTTTATCTAAATGACCTTTTTCCCCCCTCTCCCTCCATAACTTTTGGTATCTAAATTGATGACAGCTCAATGACACAAGCAAGATAACAGTGCTGTGTATTATACATTTGTTTATATTATCGGCACTTCTCAGTATAGGTGGAAGGAACCATTACCTTTATTTAACAGTGGTTTTTCTTTTTTGTTGTTGTGTTTTACAGTTCTTTTCCCTGGTTCAGCCTGAACTATATACCAGGCCCTGCTGAAAATACCACCCAACAGTTTTCTTCTGCAGCTTATCCAGTTTCTCTTAAGTGCCCTGTACATATTGTATGTTTTATGATGAGATGCAGTTTCTTAATATGTATTACAGAAACACTACTGGTATTTGCAAATATATAGTAAAATTGTTTTATTGAACTCTCATTTTGGGGGCTTGGGCACATTAACAAATTAATCCATCTGTATAGGGCTTTTGCTGTTGGATAGAATAAAAATACTTACATAATTACTTGTTCCATAGTAGGACCCTTAAAATTATATGTGCAGAGCAGGCAGTAAAATAAGACACTTGTCTTAGTTGGCTGCAAGATTTTGGGCCAGAAGTTTCTTCTGAAATGGCAGTATGTAGCAGCATTCTTGGTACAATAAGCATGGCACATATTGGAACAAATGCATTTTACTGCACAGGTAAGGAATGTGCCACAATATACTGTATGTATGCACCCATCCAGCCACAGACACACATACACAGCGTGTATTTGAAGATCTGCAGAGACTTTCATTTTCATTTGACAAGTCAGCAAAAGCCCTACGCTTGATTCAGCAAAAAATATTTCCATACCTTCTCTTAAGTTTTACAAAATTTATATGGTAGGTGTAAAAGAAAACATAGTGAACTGTACCATATTATTAACCCCTAAATCAAACTTTTTTTGTCTTGTGTATCTTGATTTTTCTGTGTGCTTTATAGTGAAGCAGCCGACACGAGTCGTTGTTCATAAAACAGCTTTTGAAAGTTGAGAGCACACCCCTGGAGAACCGACTGTGCTTGCTTACGTTTGGTTCATGACTTAAAAATCGAGTACAGGTGATGAAATCTTGGCAGTGTTAACAAAAAAGTAGTGTGTATTGTGCTATTTTTTTGCTCTAGAAACTTAACCATTTGTAGAGAAAAAGGAACAGTCAAATTTTCACACATTGAAGTTTCATTCTGACAAAAAAATTAATGATAAATATTAATAGACATCAAGCTTTGTATTTTAGCCAACATAAGTACTTTCAACAAACTCAGGTGGTGTATCAGGGAGACATTTTCTGGGTGTATTTGTGTATTTTCTGCCTTTGAAATGGAATGCATTCTAATGCAAGGCTATTTCTCTGCAGGAGTTATTCCTGATGAGACTAAGGCTTTGTCTCTCTTGGCACCAGCTAATGCTGTGGCAGGTCTGCTGCCTGGAGGTGGACTCCTGCCTACTCCCAACCCACTTTCTCAGGTAGGCTTTCCAGTTAGACTGAAGTAAAGGGAAACGGTTAGATGTATTCTGTTAGATTCTAACTTGCTTTCTGTTGTTTTTTTTCAGGACAAATAGACTGATGTGCTAATGCTGATTCCTAGAATGTTTTAGTTTATATACCTTGATGGATTGTTACAGCTATCTGATATGAATTGTTGCAAAACGATGATAAGTTGCTAGATGGGATACTTGTATTTCCCAAGTATGATGCTTCTGGTATCTCAGGGGCCCTGTGTTTCTCTCTCTCTCTCTCTCTCATCCCTCTTTTATCCATTGTACACTTACAGACAGATCTGACAAGCAGTAGAGATCTCGTAGATTTTAAATTCGTGAAGTTCAAGGAGTTGACATGCTGTGGAGATAGCTTCTGTTAATACTCCAATTTAGGGGAAAAAATTGTAGCCTGTATTTGCTCATTATCTAAATACACAAGAATTCTTGTGGAAGATGAACAGTAAGAATTAATACATTGTGGAAAAAGTTTCAGTCAAAGCACATATCTTATTAGAGAACAGAGAATCAAAGTACAAGAGGCAAATTAATAAGAATAAAGCTTCATTAATTCTGCAGTTCTCAAATCTGCTTCTTCAGCTTGTGCTTAGCTCTTCTTTGTGTAGCTTCTGTTAGATTTCTGATTGCATGAAAGATATACTTGCCATTGAGTTATTCAGAAGGTCTCTTTAACCATATGTAGAGGGAAAAGTCTAATGTTTAACTTTGAAACTCGAGGAAAGGGATGGAAGAAACAAATACCGTCTTAAAGATTTCTTTCACCAAAAATTGTATGTATATAAATTCCTGAAACTGGTGGTGAACCACCTTAATTTTAGTTCTGTCACTCTGAATCCCAGCCTACTCCAGTCCACTTAATGGTAGAATTTATTTAACACATCCATTTTATGGAAAATTGTGGTGGATGGTCATTTTTTTCAAACCCATCTTGAAAGCTTGTTATGTAGCTCCTTTTGGCTTATTGGGAGTTGGGCATCTAACTCAGTAAAAACGAATTAGAGCTGTAGTTTATGTTCACGAAATCAGTGTGTGGGAATGTGGCTTTTTCTTTTGAGACTGCAGGAAGAAGTCTATACAGTTTTAAGAGATCAGCTAACTGAAAAACTCATTGTCAAAAAGTGGAAGGTTCTGACATGCTCTTGCTGCTGCTTTTATGCTGGCTCTGGAGCTCATCAGATCTTTTTGTGAACTATTGTGTTAGCTTGATGCAGACAGCACAAAAATAAGTTCTCTGATGGCTCAGTGGGTTGAATTGCTTGACAAATGAGTCTCAAGTGCCAGAGCAGTCAGAAAGGAGGCAGTGAGAAGGAAGGAAGGGAGAGCAAGACCTCATAGCAACAGCACAGTGTTTGATTAACATAAGATCACGTGGCTTTTAGCACAGTGTGTTGTTTTGTTTCAGTGTATGTTTTGATCATCTCACTTTAAATGGCCAAAAAACAAGGTTCTTTTTTGAGGCTTCTAGATTAATTTAAGGAATTCAGACCTATACAGTCATCCTACTTATTCTTCCAGTAGCTTTTCAACCCGTTTGCCAGTTTTAACCAAATCTGAGAAATTTGCAGAGATGTAATAATATTATATTGTCTTTTAACACAAAACATGTTAATTTCAATCCTAAATTGATTTAGATATGCAGTAGTTGGCTCAGAAACTTATAATGGATTTTCATTTTAACACTGGAAAAGAATTTAATTGTAAACTATTTCTTGAAGGTAGTGGAATGCTTTACTTTTTTACTTCCCCCACCCCCCTCCCCCTTTGGGATGCAGAGGAAATGGAATTTCATTTTAGAATATTTATAGGAAAAAAATCTTTCATATACTAAGCTTTGGAATACCTGAATAAGGAAAACTGAAATACTCTCACTGACCTCAGTATACTGTTTCCTGTGGCTAGAAGCCTAAGTAAAACCCAGTTCAAGTTTCCACGTGTCTAATGCTTGGGAATCTTGATCTAACAGCTTTTTATCAATTGCATATGGCTTTGTCTAATTGCTGTCTTTGTTACAGATTGGTGCTGTTCCTTTAGCTGCTTTAGGAGCTCCTGCTCTTGATCCTGCCCTAGCTGCTCTTGGGCTTCCTGGAGCAAACTTAAACTCTCAGGTATGTCACACATTCTAAAATTTTCTTTATTGTCCCTAGCACATACTTAGTTTGACTAGCATACGTGATGCTCTTAGTGTTCACCAGTATATTAAATAACAAGCTGAAGTTCTGGAAATACTATACTTAGGTTTGAAGAAGTGTTACAAAATATTACTTTTTATTAAAGGCTTGGCTCAGTGTAGTCTGCACAGGCTGCTGGTTCTTTAAACTTCTTGGAATTGTTACAGAATGCAGTCTTTGTTTCTTGGCATAGCAGGTTTATATATGAACACTTTTCTTTTGCTACCCTCTTTTCTGTTTTAAAAGTAATTTTGATTTATATCAATTTAACAGCCACTGTCTGTAAAATCCAGTGATAGATTTTTCTGAGCACCTGTTTGGATTAAATAGTATCTGTAGGAGTATCGAATTAAATGCCGGAAGAACCTAAAAAATAATTTGGGACTAATAATGAAATATTTCAAATATGTGTCATTATCAAGGTATGAACCTGTCTTGTACTTACAGTAAAACAAAAAATTGCTTGACTTTTTAATTTTGTAGGTGTGGAAAATACTGAGGAGACTTTGTTATACTGTAGTCTTTTTAAAACTGAATAAAAAAAGACTCTTAAGTACTAAGTAATAGTGAGTTGAATATTGAGTTAATATTTAAGATATAAGAACCAAATACTGTACAGAGAACATTTTACAGATACAAGTAGTAATAATTTAATGCTTTGCTAAGAAATCCATTATTTAGCATTCTCTTTATGCATGCCATATGTAGTAACAAACAAATAATGGTGATAATGAAATAAGAAATGAAAAAAAAAAGTATTCTAAATGCATCATAGAAAAATATAAATTTGGTATGATGGATTGTTTCCTTTGTCCGTTAAGCCAGCTGATTGTAACAAACTGTTTGGGTTCAGCACATGGCTCCCTCTGTATAAAGAAAATTAGTGGGGACTAAATATTTTATTGTTAATACACCACTGGTACAGGAAGTGACCAATTGTAATAATACCTGGATTTTCCTAAGAGCTGTGAAATAGATTTTTTTTTTTTTTTTGTGGAATTTTTAGAGTAAAGAAGCTTTTGCTTATTGTTCATAAATTGACATTGAGGACTACCCATGGACAGGCAACTTAGTTCTCTAATGAGATCTCTATTTTCTTGAAGTAACAGAGAAATAACCTGTAAAAACCAAAAGTGTATTTTTATTCTAAAGTGCTTCGATTCTGTCCAGGAAGGGGCCTATGTTTGGCCGCTATGGGGAAAAAAAGTACCTAAGCACCACTGAAATGTGATGTTTACACCCTCACCACCATCCACAAGTTTTAAAACAGACCAATATGCCTTTTCGTCTGTAACTTGTTTGGGGTGTGTTTTGTTTTGATTTTTTCATCTGTAGAGCCTGTTTGCTTTAGCCATTGGGTACATTCAAGGAAGATAATCTTCTTAAGCATACACATCTTCCAATGTGGTTTTAACTTTTTTTTTTCCCCCCCCTCACAGTCTCTTGCAGCAGATCAACTACTAAAACTTATGAGCACAGTGGATCCAAAGTAAGCATCAGTGTTTACAAATATTTGTATTGCAATACACTTGATCTTGGGAATATCTGTTGTGATTCAGTATCCAATCTTTGTCCTGCTGGATCTAATTAAGGTTGGAGAAAACTAGTGTCTTGGGGACCTTGTGCAGACCCTCTTTTGCGTGCTAGAGAGAAAAAAGGGGAAGAAATTAAGATTATTCAGCCTTTCATCTACAGAACACCACCAATTAATCTCTGGGATTTCATTTTGCTAGAGACAGAAATTCTGGTTTTCGTATGTCATTTTTGTCACTTCTGTGTCTGTAATGTAAAGGTGCGGCTAGCACCTTATGTCCTGCAAGGTTGAAATGAAAGGGCTATGGTTGAGAATGAGCTGAGACCAGCAACTGTTGTAAAAGACAATAATAAAAGAGTCTATGTATGTTACAGCTGTTGGAAGATAACAAAAGACAGCATGTCTTATTACTTGGTAGAAAAAGGGTGCAAATAACAGTAAGCACAAGTATTTGCTGATTTTCATTTCAGTATTCAGAAAAAGGATAATTTTATTCAAAATAGTATGGCATGGGGACAAAGAAGTAGGGAAGGATTGCAGCACTTAATGTATTAATGTGCTGTTAAGCTATTGATAGCATTGCAATAGGATGATAAAAACATATGCCATTGAAAAAAAGCTATTAGATTAGTAGATGAAAAGTGTTCTAAATGCAAAGAAACCACATCTGCCTCAGAAAGCCCTTGTACTGCAAATTGCAGGAAGCTTTGGGGAGAATTCTTTCAACTCTCAGCTTTGGGAAGGCATATCAACGTATGCTTGCCCTGCTGTTGTATTAGCTAAATAGACTACTTCTATCCCTGTTTGGCTGTTCCAGTGTTTTTAAATTGTCAGAGCCATCTGATCTATACCAGGGGATAAAGCTAGCTATGTGATCTATCTTTGGTTTTAATACTGTTCTGGCATATTATTCTCTATTTTAAATTGACATTTCTGTAAGCAGGGAATGCATAACTGATTGAACAAAATAGTTACCCAAGATAATGGATTAGATAAACATCAGTCAGGTATATTGGGTATACCTGGTTGGCTTCAAAGCCACCTTGTAGAACACATCTTCTGAACTTTAAATCTCATCACTGTTTGTAGGCTTCTCAGTATGGCTTATAAAAATGGAAACTGACTTCCTACTGTGTAATATACTGTTTCCTGTGGAGTTGCTCTTTTCAGGTGATGAGAATTGAAATTGTGTTGTACAAAAATGTTCTGAAAAGTGTCATTAGAAACATATCTGTGCAAGACAATACAAACTTTCCTGCTATTTACAGTTTACTGGAATTCTAAGAGCCGTATGTGCTAGTATCTTGTGCCACTGTTTTCAGCACACATATCCCATCACATCTTAGACTTACTACTCTGTTATCTGAACAGTGACAAAACGCAGGCAGATTCCGATTCACTTAGATCAGTCACTTTGAATAGGCTGCAAACTGACAATGGAGGCATGTATTTCTTGGATTCATCAATACTGAATTTCTAAAATTCTTTTTTGTTTACCAGGTTGAACCATGTAGCTGCAGGTCTTGTTTCACCAAGTCTGAAATCAGATACCTCCAGTAAAGAAATAGAAGAAGCTATGAAAAGAGTACGAGAAGCACAGTCATTAATTTCTGCTGCTATAGAGCCAGGTAATTTTAAATCGTAGAATACCTCATTCAATTCAAGATGGAGTTTTGACATGGTATATGATAAAAGCTAACGGTCTGCAAAATGTTGGCTTAATGCTTTCATGTTCTGTAGTGACTTAATTTATAGTTGACAGGTTTTTAGTTGTCCTACAGTGTGAACGATTCGTGTGTCCTGCAGAACAATGCAGGGAATTAATCATCTGTTGTTTTTCCCAAAATTCACTTGATACGAAGATGGCAAAATGCTTGAGCTTCCCCTGATTGAAGTTCATACTGCCATCTCTGAGTTTTCACTGGAAACAGCAAGTGGCTTAACCACTTGACATCCTAGTGATGTTTGTTCTTGGGGATGATTTCCTTTCTTTTAATTCCTTAGTCTGTAAATAATTCTTTTTTTTGTAGCTTATTTCAGTAGATTTTATTTTAGGACAAGGTGCAGCAGTTCGTCCACAAATGTCAGATCCACCAAATCTGAGAAGCAGTAACTTGGAACACTGAAAATACAGTTTGCAGCCTCCTGATCATTTTCAGGAAAGGATAGAGCTCCTGTTCTTTTATTATACCAGAAAAATGCGCTCAAGTTTTGCTTGAGGCTTTTTGTGGGAAATTCAAAACAATAATTTGAGAGATTGTTTAGCCCTTCACAAAATGGCAGATTCTGAGATTTTAACAAGACTTTCCATTGCCCTGCAGCTGTCATCTTTTAACTGACTTAAATTAAACATTTTCTGAATTTTGATTTCTTAGTTTTGCATAAAACTTTGTTGGTTTTATGTCACATACATGTCTTTGTCACGTGTTCATTGTTTGTGTCATCTTTTGAGGAAAAGGATAGATAAGCCTAAATTTCAAATGTCAAAATATTCCTTATGTTTTCTTTATCTTATTTATATCTGTAGTGTGAAGCTCAACTTCCTTTCCAATATAAAATCTTTTGAATACTAAAATAACATTGGGGTTTTTACTATGCTTTTCCTTTTTAACACCAGACAAAAAAGATGAAAAACGAAGGCATTCGAGGTCAAGGTCACGCTCAAGGAGGAGGAGGACACCTTCTTCATCTAGACACAGGTAGTTAGCTTATTTGCTTTAAAAAAACCCAAACACATAGCTGAAACAATTCTTTCAAAAATACTTCTTGGAAGTGACGCTTCACTTGTGGAGGCTGACAAATGGAAGAATGCAAATGGTCTGAAGAAAGCTGAGGCTGTGATTTAGCTAGACTGTAGCGTGAGATGGAGGCCTACCTCTGGTTCTGTAGAAAGGGCGGGAGAGAGATGATAGCAAAAAATACCTCAAAAATACCTTAAACTACTGCAGAAGGAACTTCAGGACCCCTAGTCCTAGCAGTGTTTGGACTCTGATTTTATTTAACAATAAGTTGTTTCTTGTATCAGATAAGAAACACCTTAGCACAGAGCCTTGGTTTTACACAGCCCTCACTGCTATGAACACCTAAGCTGTTGTAGGCTGTCCATTTTAGAATAGTTCCTTAAATCTCTGTTCTTTCTTCAGTCTTTTTCCAGTGTGCTCGTGTGGTAATTACAGTTTGTCTTAAAACCAAGTACTAGGAGACTTCTCTTGAGCATTGTTATTTATGTACATAAATGTTTACCTGTTGGGCTGTTTGTTTCTAGTATGTGCAGCAAATTCAGCTTAGTGGAAGTATCTGGGACAAAAGTTTTTCCAGTGTTTTCTAGGTTATGAGTTACTTGGAGATCAGGTCTGTTCAGATATCCTGACTAGAGATCGTAATATTGTCCTACCCAAACAGAAAGACATATGGCTTATTTATGCTGTTGGCTTGTCAATTCCAATTAGACAGTGCATGCCAGTGGTCTGTGCAAAGCCATTTTAACTGTGGCCTTCCCATTTGTGCTTTTTTGCTATTTTCATATTGAGTAATTGGCTTGTATTTGGTTTAGTGTTTTAAAAACTTCTTCACATTTCAACATGACTTACCAGTTTTCCTCTACGATAGGACTGATATTTTCTTACAAGGAGAGTAATAAGAAAGCTGATTGAAGCATCATTGTTCTTTGACATTTAGCATTTGTGCACTTCCTTTTTCCATTTCCTTGGTGGACTCAGTGGACTCAGCAACTCCTTTCCTGTTTTCTGTATTCTTTTTTCTGTTTTCTGTATCATTATGCGTTACAATACTGTTAGCGCTGAGCAGATGGATTCTGAATGGTCTATCAAAATTTCATATACTTAACTCCCATGTACAATGTGTTACTGGTAGACGGTCAAGAAGTCGATCAAGGAGAAGGTCCCATTCAAAATCAAGAAGCAGGAGGCGATCTAAAAGTCCAAGGCGAAGAAGATCTCATTCCAGAGAGAGAAGCAGAAGGTCTAGGAGCACGTCCAAAACCAGGTAATTGCTTCAGTAAACCTGTTCTATTTGCTAGAAATTAAATTATTAAATTTTGGTGCTTAATTAAAAAAAAACCAACCAAAACCACAAACAAACAAAAAACCTAGGGCAGAATGAACTAGTGGCTCTTTTTAAAGTCACAGTCTCTTGTAACGTCTTACAGAATTATATTACACTTGCCCTATGCGTGTGCAGTTAGTTACATAAAAACATGTGACATGCTTTTCCTAAGAGTCAACAGATGCAGCAGGCATTAGCTGAATCACTCAGTAGCTGTCTTTGGAAAGCAGGAAATGTGAGCATCTAGACTTGCAGATTTTGTGCTGCTCGTACACAGAAGCTATAAAAGAGCTGTTCTTTTATTTTGCTGTAGATAATTGTAATCTTTGTTTCCATTAATATAATGTGCCTGGCCCCAGAAATACTAAACAGTATATGGTATCCAATGTAGTTATCATGTCTTCGTTCGTTTTCCTACATAGCAAAAGTAGTGAATGCTACTTGAATTGTTTGAAAATGACTTAAACTTAAAATCTGTATTTTACTAAAAGGGATAAAAAGAAGGAAGAGAAAGAAAAGAAACGTTCTAAAACTCCCCCCAAAAGCTACAGCACAACTAGACGATCAAGAAGCACAAGCAGGTACAGTCACATGAAAGTTTTCCTCGGTCTCTATTTCCAGCACGCTCTATCCACTTTAATAGAAAGAACATTCTTGTATGTAATAGGATGATGATTCTATTGTGGATATATTGGGTACATGCACAAATGCATGTATACTCCTTCTACCTATGTCTGTAAGATGCTTTATTTTTTTCCCTGATACTGTAATTTTCTGGAGGTATTGTTTGGGCTTAGAATAGTTTCTACTTGCTCTATATCAAAGAGAGTATGATGCTTTGAGGTCACTGTTAAACACTGTCCTGATTTATGGAATAAATACATGCAAAATGCTTGCCATTCTTTTTTAGAAAACTTCCAAAATTAACTTGCAGTATTAACAAGAACAAACTGGTTTATTCCTATTTGCAAAAAGAGTCAGTATCCCTAATACAGTCTAAGCTAGCAACTTGTTCATGAAGGTGGAGGTAGAGCAGGAAACAACTTACTCTGCTGATCAGCAACTGTGTGGGCTTTGCAGTACTGCTAATAGTAAATATCCGTTTTGAGTTATACATATTTACTACCTTTTGAGCAGTGCTGGTTTTGGAGCCAGAGATGTATTTGTAGCTTTTAAAAAAAAAAAAAAAAAAAAAAAAAAATTTTTTTTTTCCCTGGAGGAAAAAGAGGGAAAAAAAAAAAAAAAAAAAAAAAAAAAAGCATTGATCTCTTTCCTGCAGAGAAAGACGACGTAGAAGAAGCAGGAGTGGAACACGGTCACCTAAGAAACCCAGGTCTCCTAAAAGGAAAATGTCCCGGTCCCCATCTCCAAGAAGGTCAGTATGCCTCTTGGCTAAAAAAAAAAAAAAAAAAAGTGTCTGGGTGGAAAATGCCCAAGATGTGAGCTATAGCAAAGATTACAGGGGGTTGTTTTGAAGATGGCGTGTGTTTGGCTTGTTCCTTATACCTAGCCCAAAGGTTGACTTCTTGAGCGAGAGAGTGCATCTCTGCTGCCTGCTACGGCTTTTATCATAATTTAATCGGCTTTAAGCATAGAGCTTCTCTGTTAGTGCCCAAGAACTCCAAACGTGAGGTATTCCACGGGTGAGGAGTAGGAAATACCCAGAGTTCCCGTCCGGTTTGGCTCTGTACAATAGGAGTCAACTGACTTTTGGGTGGGCCTGGGCATTTTGTGATCCTCTCTCCCTAAATGGGGAACTTGAGCCGCTCCTTCATAAAATGCTATAGTGTTGCTATTCCTAACAGGGCATTTCTTAGACTTCGCTTTGTGGTGGTTGTGTTCGATTGAGAGCTAAGAAATCGGATGTTTGGTTATTTTCTGAAAGCGAATGGTGTGTTTTAGTTGCACATTGCTATTTCTCCTGTTAGATTTGTAATGAACTATGGGTAGCAGTCTGGACGTGGTCTGTGTTCTAGTTATGGAATGGTGTGATTGTGGTTTTCATTCTTCTACATACTTTTTCATTGTAGACATAAAAAGGAAAAAAAGAAGGATAAAGACAAGGAGAGAAGTAGAGATGAGAGGGAGCGGTCAACAAGCAAGAAAAAAAAAAGCAAAGACAAAGAGAAGGATCGAGAACGAAAATCCGAGAGTGATAAAGATGTGAAAGTATGTTTAAAAACCTGTTTAACTGCACTGCCTATACTGTAGTGTTAACCTTAAACCAACAGGGGCTTTGAAAGCAAGTTTTACTTTTTTTTTTTATCTCGGCAAAGCAGGTCACAAGGGATTATGACGAAGAAGAACAAGGATATGACAGCGAGAAGGAGAAAAAGGAAGAAAAGAAAATGGCAGATTCTTCCTCCCCTAAAGTAAAGGAGTCTGCTGCCGATAAAGGAAGTGGAGATTCAGCAAGGGAATCCAAAGTAAATGGGGATGATCATCATGAAGAGGACATGGATATGAGTGACTGAATTTTGCCTTTGCAGTGAACGCAGCTGCAGACGTGCATCAGTGTCATTCCTGTGTGATTCTTTTATGCTGTACTTGTTAATCCTAAATCTAGATGTATACAGCTCTAAGCTATACATGGTTTGTAAATCTCCTGATACTAACTCACATCAAAAGCTTTATAGAAAGGTAACCATTCTTGTTACGGCCGAAAGGGATTGCGTAGCCAAGCAATTTTTACTAACTTGGTGATGCTTCAAGCAAAAGTAAAAAGCTGCATGCATCTACAGCAGGCATGGACTGTTTGTTGTATGATCTCCTTTAGTAAATCAGCTCACTTATGATAGTGTTTCTAGAATTTGATTCATTGCAGTAATAGAGCAGTATAGGGAATGCACTGACTGCATGTTGATTGTGGCAGAAACATCCTAAATGTTCTAAAGTCCTACAACATACGGTGGATCTACTTAAGGGTCTTAAGTGTGACTACACAAAAAAAATTGACAGTACATCTGAAAATAAGCATTCTGATATAGGTAGTTTTTTGGTTTTGTTTTTTTTAAGCCATGTGGCTGGGGTTGTTTTGTTTTGTTTTGTTTTTCCCAGTGGGTTTTGTTTGGCTTTGACAAAGTTAAAATGCACTAACCTTTTTGAGGGCTTTTTTTAATCTGTCAGTTCAAATCCATCTCAGGCGAGTTGTAATGGTTCTTAACTTTTCTTCTTGAGCCTTGGGAAGTGAAAATCTCTGCTTGATCGGTGCCCAGTGATTAAAGGTTGATTCATGCAGTTTTCATAATCCAGGTCGTTTTATTTGTTTAATGAGCTAAACACATTGCAAAAAGGTAGTGCATTTTAAAATTGACCTTTGTATGCTTTTAAAAGCAAGTCTACTTGATAATGTACTTTTTACTTGATCTCAAGTTGTATAAACTAATAAATTTGTGTTTACTGTCACTGCAGTAGTAATCTTATGCACACAGTGATTCCATGTTATATGCAAAGTAGTTAGGCAAGCTGTTTTCTTAGTTACAGAAGTTCAAGAGCTTTTACTTTTGTGCAGGTAAAAAGGCAAAAGTAGGCTACAGTCTGTGCCATGTTGATGTACAGTTTCTGAAATTGTTTTACAAAACTTTGATAATAAAACCCTTAAACTTATACTCATGTTCCTATAAAACTCTGCTGGTATTTATTTACACCACTGAATGTATGAAACTTTACCTCATTCATTTAGAGTATACATTTTTCTTCATCTACCTATTTTAAAAAGACCGTAACAACTCCATCTCTTCAAAAACTGTAAGTGCAGTGACAAAGCTGATAAGCCTGCCATTTTAGCTCTAGTTAAGTATGTTACACTAAAGAAAGAATTATTTTACTTTTTGGGGGAATGTAGGGAATGGGCTTAAATGGGAAGCTAGAGGTATTATGGGACAAGTACTTTTAAAAAATATGTATTTGTAAAAATCTTTTGTATTTTCATTGAAATATGAACATTCACCTCTTCAGGATGGTAATGGAAGACTAGCAGAAACAGGAAGCAGAGAGTGCTTTCTGCATATAAAGTAGGCTGTTAATGTCAACTAAAAACTTACCGGTTTAAATTAGTGAGTTTTGGAATGAAACTAAAAAGTGGTGCTTGAACTTCTTGCATCTGGTGAGTCAAACCACCTTCTTTTTAAACTGTCCTTTTGCCCCAGGCAAAGTGGAACTTGCCATTTAGATCTGCAGTGTCATTTTTAGAATTTGTAGAAATGTAAATTTTTACCAACTGTTTTGAGTATTTTGTCAATACAGAGAGGTATATGTCATACAACCAGTTCTAGGCTTTTATTTCTGGTGGGGAGAGAGGGATAGTTCTTGTAATAAAATAAAAATAGCAAAGACAAGGTGCATGATGTCTTCATGAATGTGCCTTTTTTGTTGTCATCAAGATATTTATATGTGAAGTACAAGAACATAAACGGATTTATAGTAATAAAGTAAACCTCCTTGATCCTTAGACCTTGTTGTTGTGAAAGTTGTTCACGTGCTGTAATGAAGGACCAAGTCAGGGTATTGAGCTCAAGATGGTACGTCAGGGGCTACATGTAATTAAACTACGTTGTTTCTAGTTTATGTTACTAACAAACCAAGTCTGTGTTGTGTGTTAACTGCGTACCTCCGGCTGCCCAAGCCCAAATACAAACTGGAGAAACGTGTGGGTTTAGACCACATTTGCTAATTGCGCACATAACCTTACATATTTTTGGTTTATTGCCTTTCAGGGTTAAGAGTGTGCGTTGGCTGAGCCTGTAGAGCTGTGCTGTGGGAGGTGGCTGCCAGTTCCTTCAGGGAACAGTGTGTAACCCTTTCGGGTACTCCCCTCCAGGGGTGGTACAGACAGGCCACTGCCCTCCTCCCGCATTGCTTGAATCTGTACGAGAGCTTCCTCTCCCAGGTCTATGTATGCCACGCCGCACAGTTAGAGCACTGAGCCGGAAGAACAACAACTTTATTTTAGTAATTTTGAAGTTGGTTTGCTAATTAGTATGGAGCATCAGCTCACCTGCCTCTTGAGGTGAGGCCCTGCAAGTCATGTAACACAGTCACTACATTACTGAAGTAGTTTAATCCTGATTTAGGATCAGCTGCCTGTGGCCTCTGGCATTCTTACAGTGGTAACTTGCAGGAGTTTTTCCTCTTTAAATTCTACAGAGAACAGGGAAGCAATGGTTGGATGTGGAGGCAGCACCCATTAGTACTGGTTGGCTGGGTCACTGACAAAAGGTGCACTGAAGCATAGTAATTTAGTAACTTGCTAATTGTGAACTGAAGGGTGAGGGAAAGTGGTTCCTTGCTTTTTTCCCCCCAATGTCTGTTGGCAGGCTGCAACCAAAGATAGGCAACTATTTTTAGACCAAACCTAAAGTTATTGGAAAATGGCAACTAGGAACCACAGGTGAGTAATACTCTTTTGTGGGTTGCAGTTGTTAAAGCCCATGCTATATTAAATGTTTCAGTAGCTATTGTTTCTGCTACCAGAGTTCTTAAAACCCAAAACATTTTAATATCAAATAGGATTCATTTTTGCTTATGCATCAGCCTTACATTTGCTATTGTCAGATTTCAAGTTTCACTCAGATTCCCAGTAGTCCAGCTGCTCCATTTGCACATCAGCATCAAGGTGGCCAAAAGTGCGTTCCCTCCGACCTTGAGGGACAGGACATCTTTTCCTCTAAAATGAAACTAAAAATGTCAGTGGTGAGAAGTTGGAACAAAGTCAGGTACCCTGTCAGCATGCAGCTAATTCTGCAATATTTCATTTGGAATGAATGTATAAGACATGTCAAATGACACCGAAGTACCACAATCCAGATGGAAAAAGTTACATCCTGCTGTTGACGCTGGGGAATTTGATGTCAATAGCTGGGCCATCATACACAGATGACTTACTGTACATGAAAGAAAAGTGTCTTGCTCAGTCATACCTTCACAGTAATCAAGCTGGAAAGTCCCTAGCAAGTGTTGTCGTACTCATTTTGAAAGTACTTCATCATAGCAAAAGCCAGGCTACCCACGCTATTTAATGGTGTGTTGTAGCAACATAAAGGCTACAACTGCACAGTTTACCAGTTAAAAACAAAGGTTTTGGTAATGTTTTAAGTGCTTTCTGTAACTCCAAACATGAGTTTTCCTTGCCCTTCATAAATATGAGATTTTAAAAGTTAGCAAGTCCTTAACTATAGAGGGATGTCCTGATGTCTGCTCTGCACGCTCAACTTTTGATGCTTGCAGGAGGGCAGAAGAGCAATTCTCAGTTAAAAAAAAAAACCAAACTGAAAACCCTTCTACGTGGCAAAATGAAACTTCAGAAGTTCCAGGTTTTGCTCTTCAAGTCATCCACAGTTCTTCCAAGAGACCACTGCTATGACCAGTTGTCACATCTTGTTATTTAGATGAGTACATTTCGAAATTTAGGAGATGAAACTTCTGTAATTACTGAACACAGTTGAGCAAACTTAAAAGGTCTCCTTCCCTCCCTCCCAGGTAGCTATTTCTAAACTTCTGACTCCTTAGCTCTAGGTAAATGCCAGAAGCTACTGTTCATGTCCTTCCACCACTGCTATTCCACTGTGGACTAGGCAGTTCAATAAAATTTGGAGCTTTACAGAGGGTAAGGAACAGTCTATAATGAAAATGCAGGATTTTATTTAAAAAATGACCAATAAAATGCCCTTGCAGAATGTAGCAGTGTGAGCTTATCCCCTTGGATCAAATCCCTGCTCAGAGATGCATGTCTAGAGTGTATACATATCCTGAAAAGTACTGTGACAGGAGAGTTAACACTTGATTTTCACATGTTGAACAGTTTCAGAATCAAACAGCGTATTTTGGTCTTTATTCTAACAAATGATACAACCAAAAATTACTATTAGTGAAGGTAAGTTAAAAACATGGACCAGACAACTAGTAAAATGCAAAAAAGTGACATTGTTTCCATGATAATTACAAATTGTAAGGAAAATAAATGTGAAACTGCAGCATTACAGGAAATTTGTTAATACAGATTAAATAATGCAGTTATCCTTGCATGAATTACAAATCAAGAACAAATACATTCAAAAAAAAGCAACAGACAGTTGCTTTGAACATTAACTTAACAAGGTGGGTTTCCAGCACAAATATATCCAGAGTTTTTTTGTAACAAATAGTTTCAATACATAAATCAAGAATTGCAGTAAAGTGAGTACAGTGACTGGAACAGCAGCTCCTTGTAAGGAAAAAGAAAACACATTCCCTTTGCCACAAATTAAAGCAGTATTTTGGAAGACCAGTAAAACAGTTTGGTTAAGAAACAACCCTAGGAATTCTTTTGCAACAATTTCTTATTTCAGTTTACCAAAATTGATGGCTGTCTTTTAATACTTATTCATATAAAAAAAAAACCCTCACAGTCGTCAGGAAAAAAAAAAAGTGGCAAGATCAGAAAGAAACAAAGCCCCAAACTCTGAACTGAGGTGGTCTCTCCCACAGCCCTGGTACAGAGGTTTCCTCCTCCACACTTGTCACTCACGCACCGTTGTCAGCTTCACCTCAAAGAACACCACGGTGTCAGTGTGCATCTTAATACAGTGATTCTTACCCAACCTGTGCAAGCTCCCTTTTTCATCCCACTTGTGTTAACCATAAGTGATACCGTATACCTCAGCTGGTGTGTCCAGAAAGGCATTTTTAGTTACCCAGATATTCTTATATTCCAGGGTATTTTGTTGCAATGGAAGTCCCTACACGTGCACAAGTCAAATTAACAAGTTAAAGCTGACATGCTTCTTGTTACGCAGCAGTGATGAGACAACCTCTGTAAAACTGCTGTGGATATGTATTCACTCTACAGGGGACCAAACCTTCCCTTAACACCCGACATGGTCTTAAGGAAAAGATAAGGAGAAAAACAAAAATTAAGTTCTGCTAATCAATCCTGCTAGAAAAAAAATAAATTTCCAAAAGATATCTGAACAGGAGATCGCAAGTGGTAACGGACACGGGTGCCCACAGCACAGCTGCAGACGAAGGCTCCCTCTACACTAGAAACACTTCACCCACCCACAGCGCTGGCGAAGCTTCTGTGCAGACACATCCATACCGACAGATACACACTTTGTGTCAGTACAACACAAAAACCCTTGCAAGAAAAACAAATCATAGTGGATAAAACATTTATATCAGTGTGGACAGAGTCACCACTAAAGAACTGCACCAGCACAGCTACGCTGCCGGGATCACATCTCTTCACGCCTGTGGATTGCTACAGCTGTGCCAAGACGCAAGTCCCTAAGGTAGGCTCAGCCTAACATCCCTCTCGCTAATGAGGATTCCTGCAGCTTGCAGTGTATCCATCAGGAAACCATGCCCCAAGCGTCCCTATGTTTTAAGTTTTGAACCTTATCACTAGGAATGTTTCAGACAGAAAACACATCACCAAAAGTTGGAGGGAAATGTACCGAGAAACAGTTCACTGAGTCTTATTTCATGAGGCTGTCACAGGAATCTGAAAACAGTCACTGAACTGGAAAGGACAATCTGGTTGGAGTCAGATCATTCAGCTCCATAGCAGGAAGAAAAGAAGTAGCAGGGTATGCTCACCATAACAATGTAAAAAGACTACAGTCAACCAAATC